TCAGCTGGGTCTGCCTCTCCACCAGGTCGCGGATCTGCTTCTCCACAGCCTCCAGTTCGAGCTGCACTGAATGCAGCTCGAACGTGTCCTCACCTGCACTCAAAGGTAGACACACATCCGCCATTAAAGCAAGTAACAGTGAGTAAAACGATGGTAATGTGTGTGTGAATAGAGTATTAGGAATGTAAGCGAGATTAGCGGCAACCACGCTGGCGATGCTAACGGGCTATATGCTAATAGCGGACTCGGGAAGTCAAAATAGAACTAGTAATAACAAGGCGCTCTGATTGTTTTTGTTGTAGAATACGATAGGGGATATATTCACACGTTATAGAAACGAAAATGATGGTGTATAAAATTGATTTTAAGATCAAAAATAGACGATAAAGAATTAACTTGACGGAGCTCAAACTCAAAACACGGCCAGAATGAGACAGACAGCGAGAAGCTCGTAAGTAGCATCTTTTGTGAAAGAGCCTTTAAGAACATAAGTTTGCTCATTGAATTCTGATATAGAAACAGAGAGAGGGGAAGGAGGAGGAGAGAGAGATGTGCAGCAAACAGAGTTGTTGTGAAACGGGTAGAAAAATGGGCCAGAAGCAAAGCTGTGAAATATTGCTCGGAGGAAATGAGCGATAGAGTCACTGTGCTTGAAACCAATCGCTTGCCTCATTCTGAAACATATACATGTGAGGCACCCACCACGTTTACATATGTTTTCAGATCAAAGCAACGTCTTTATGTTACCATATGGATAGGGCAGCTGTGTGAATGAAGATATGATTAGAAATTGAGGAAGGAACATGATTAAAAAGCCAGCTAGAATGATTTATTCATAGTTATGATGACTTGATCAGAATGCAAGTCAGTTAGACAACAATACAGAAGCTCACATTTGTTTTGATTTTGGAATGTAAATACATAATGTAGTGAATGTTACGGGAAGGTTTCACTTTTAAAATGCGAATGAAACAGTTTTATTTACAAGTGACTCTGAGAGAGCGTTTGAAGACATGTTTGCTCACAACCAGTCTAGAATGATTTCAGCATCCATGGCTGGATGAATCTATAAGTGAATATGTACAGTCAACCAGTCATTACTGCAAATAGAACCCCAAGAAGTAGCTGTTTGTAATGCCTGTTCAAAAACATATCACATTAAAGACATATGTATGTTGTTCTTTTGCTGAAGTTTTTTTTGTAATGCCTATACTACCATTCACAAGTTTGTGGTTGGTAACATTTTTACATTTTTTTTTGAAAGAGGCTCACCAAGGCTGCAATTATTTAATCAAAAATACATTTAAACAGGTATTTTATTAAATACTATTGTAATTTTAAATGAATGTTTTTATTTGAATATATTTTAAAATGTAATCAAATTCTGTGATGGCAAAGCTGAATTTTCAGGAGCCATTACTCCAGTCTTCAGTGTCACATGATCCTTCATAAATCATTCTAATATACTGATTTGATGCTCAAGAAACATTTCTGATCATATCAATGTTGAAAACAGTTGTGATGCTTAATATTCTGTGGAAAGTGTGAATTTCATGATTCTTTGATAATTAGAAAGTTCAAAAGAACAGCATTTGTTAGAAATCTTTTGTAACATTGAAAATGTCTTTACCATCACTTTTAACTAATGATGCATTTTATAGCAATAATACGTCCTTGCTTGAATGAAAAAAGTGTTATTTCTTTTGAATAATAATAATAAAAACATATCTAACACTGACATTAATTACACAGGATTGCTGTGATTACATTTAGCAACTTCCAGAGAGTATACTTGTCAGAATCCGTGTCTCATTATTGTCTTAAGCTGGCAACACACTAGACGATTTTCAAATCTTAACTGATTTTAAAACCATGGGAGACCACGGACAGTTTCAACCGATATTTATCGTTATAATCCCCTGAATGCGCACACTAGATGATTCGGCCAGACCGAGAGACCACACACACTTGTGGATTGTAGGGACGATTTCACAGTGACACGTGATCTCACGGAGACTCGCAAGATCAAACAAGACTAGAGAAGAAAAACAAATGGAAGACAATCGACATTCAGCTGACTCTCCTGGCACGCATTCTGCATTCACAGTGAAAAACAAAGTATAAAAAGAATATGGGTGATGTATTCTGCTTTCGTGGCATTTTTGTGGCTGCCAAGTTTCAGCTATAGAATCACGCAACATCCGGTAAGAAGCTCGCTTTCATTGGCTATCGCAGGTATCACATCAGAGGCAGCCCGATCAAGAGTCGTAAATATCAAAGATAGTTTGAAATTTACGATTTGAGTTCGGGGATGCTCCGTCTCAATCGGGAGCAGTTAAATAATCGTTATGACACCACACAATAGAGGATTTTTTTGGACAAAAAAAATCTCTTGCGACAAGCCGCGAATCTGGCCACACCCCCAACCTAGTTTCTGTCTCCCCTTTGATTTTGTCATTTGATTCAACTGTGTCTCATTAATTATCCTCATGTGTCTCCCTATTTAAGTTCTAGTCCTGTGTTCCCTTGTCCGGTATTGTATACGTCTGTGGTTTACGTGTCACCTGCCTACCTGTGGATTTACCTTCATGTGGATTAAATAAAGACTATCTGCCTTCATCATCTTCTTTGTGCATGTTTATTAGACACCGTAGCGTAACAATACTAGCCTATCAGATAATGGTATGCTAAGCTAGCATGCTAATTGTATAGTGGTATGCTAACTGGTTAGCCTGCATGCAAACAAAGAATGAGAAAATGTATGTTTACCCTAACAGCTTTTGGTCATGTAATATGATGTGACATGATTTAAATTACAATAATTGTCATATTTACATAGTTAAAATAACATACATTAAAAAGCTGTGTTTTAGTAGCCTATTTCTAATCAGGCGCTGAATCTGGTTCCTATTAAAAGTTCTGTTTTGTCACATGCATACACCAAATGAGTAAAAACAAATGGATGTAAAATACAAATGCGAGATTCTTTTTTATTATTATGTAAGAAGAAAACGACTTAGAAAGTTTTGTTGCCTGTCAATCATATGCAAATAATCACAGAACAACACATTTGACCAATAATAATCGACTTCTTCAGAGGGCTGTGTAACAAAATGAATATTTGGATATTTAATTTATTTCACAATAAAAAATGAGTATTTCACTTACAGCACTGAGGCATATAAGAAGCCAATAGAGGATCATTACCTTCAGCAAGCATGAAAACAGGAAAACAAAGCCAAAACAAATCCTGGCTAGGACACGTCCTGGGAAAATGGCACGTATGGTCACCCTAGTTTAGTGGCATACATAACAGAAAATATACCAACTCTGAAAAATCTGTGATGCGTTCAGAGCAGTAATTCATACCCTGATCTATGAGCTGGAAAGTGTGTGTAATGGAGCACTCTGTTATCTGCAGTGGGCCCGTGGATTGATTTGTTTTAGGAGAATGGACAGTCATCCAGCTGGAGAAGAGCCAGTGTGTATTGCTGAGGACTGACATCTCAGGTGTAACGTCTGGACCAATCAAACACACAATTTTTCATTTGATTTAACAAATCAGTTATTCATTAGATTAACAAATCGTCACAGTCCCCTCACCCAATAAACTGGATGCCAAGTAAGAATTTGATGTTCCCTTGAGGCTGTAGATCTGAATATGCAAATGGTTCCATAACTTCATTCCTTATTTCCTCTTTACTGCTTAAGCTTTAACCCTTTCCTATACCAATCGTGTGTGTGTGTGTGTGTGTGTATGTGTATGTTGGACCAGTTTAAGTGTTTATGTAGTATGTTAGACTAGTTTAAGTGTTTATGTAGTTAATAAAGTCTTATTTGTATCACACTTGACGTTGTTCATTGTTTGCTCATAACTGGAGTCACTTAATCATGCAGATTTATGCTACAGGCTCTTTGTAGAATTGTACAGTAAGAAAGTTATTTCCCTTAACCAGGAAATTAACGTTCTTAGAATTGACAGACAGTTGACCCTGAGAGGCCAGCTAAATATCTACAGCGGATCTAAATATTTATAATTAATTATAACTAGTTATGATTAATTATTCATATTTCCCCATGAGCTGATTCGCAACACAGGTGTCACTACAGGGCCGTTACCCCTCCCGGACGCCCCTCAACCGCCTGGTATCACACAGCCGATTCAATCCCAGGGCTCAATGTATGTCAGAGGGATAACTGGGATAACCTCCAAATGACAACCTACTGTGAGAAAAGCATGGCTCTGTTTCAATTTCCAGAGAAGCCCAGAGCATATAATGAGACGAGCACTAAATGAGCCTTTGAGGAAAGTGCTATTGATGCATTATGGTAATGCATTTTTCTTCTGGTCTTCACAATTTGTTTTTATAGAGAGGTTCAGAGACTCTTGCAGTGAAGGACAGTGCTAGTCTTTGCAGATTTAGAGGAGCCACAGAAAGAGTTTGAAAAAAAAAAATGCTTCATGATCTTGTCTGAGACATTACTTTCCACCAGTGCTATTTTCATCTTTAGCGTACCTTCACTTTTTCTTGCGTACTGGCACTTCTCATGTTGCCGGTACTTTGCCACTCTGAGTCAAAGAGTCATCGTATGGATGATAAATAGTAATGACATCACACTACGGGGAGGGGGCACTAAGTGAATTACCTGATTTACATGTCATCTCGACAAATCACGTGAATAATACAAGCCGTCTATCGGAAGTTCTCTTTTCTAATTAGACAGTTATTACTATGTTAGCCTGGCTTCAGAAGGGGACCAAAATTACGCGTGAATCAAATCTTCACCCAGATAAAGTAAACACTGTCTGTAAGCAAATCAGTGCCTGCGGTTCTAACGAGCAGTCTGCTGTTAGAGCAGCAGCACAAGCACCCGCGGCAGCTGCAGTTAATGTTACCACTGCTATTACCTCAGACGGTGATGTTAAAGGGGTCATATGATGCTATTTTAAAGATCATTATTTTGTGTATTTGGTATAACAGAATATGTTGACATGCTTTAATGTTCAAAAAACACATTATTTTTCAAATACTGTACATTATTGTAGGTCCTCTATGCCCCGCCTCTCTCAAACACGTCGTTTTCAACAAAGCCCCCTCCTTTGACAAGCACAGTCTGCTCTGATTGGCCAGCTGACCCAGTGCATTGTGATTGGCCGAACACCACAAGCATGCGTCGGAAATGTAACGCCCCTTACCATAATCGCGAGCTTCAGCTTTCAAAGTAAATATCAAGACAGTTAATAATGTCGTTAGTTTTACCATCAGTTCAAGCCCAAAAGGGCAACAGAGTCGCGCGACAGACACAGTTATGATGCAGTACACAAGCCGCAGTTAAGA